GCGGGCTGGGGATTCAGACCCGCCACCTTAGGTGTATGTGGCTGGTGCCTTAGCCACTTGAGCCACAGGCGCTGAGCCTCTGAGTCCATTTCTAAAAGCCTCCCAGCTCTTCCTCTCAAGCTATCAAAATCTTCACTGGAGGCCCTGACAGGGTGAAAATTAACTACCAGTCTCCTGTAATCGCCGTGCAAGGTAATGAAGGGCATGGTTATGCTTCCTCCTCACCCTCTGTCGTCAGGAGGGAGCTACGTTTGCACCTCCGGAATAGCCTGTACCTTGAATCACACACAGGCTGTGTGTGTCAGTGTGAGTGTGCATGCGTGTATGTGTGTAACCACATGTGGTGGTCAGGGGTGTGTGTGTGTGTGCGAGAATCACTTCCAGCTATTTGCTTTCAGATGAGGAATTCAGGAGACTTTTGTTCTGCCTGGCTCTGCCTGGCCCTACACCCAGCCTGCACACATGTCCCCTCCTCTGACCCTGTATTCTCCAGTGAGCTGATCTCATTATGGCAAATTTAGTTACAGCTGAAGTCTCCTTGTAACAAAGATTATGTCCAAGCCCAGAGTAATGGAACCTAGTCGATTTCATTAAAATAAAATTGGTTACAATGAATAATTCAATAGGATGATTTTGTTTCCTCATCTCCTCTTTGTAGATCGAAGAGCTAGTATTTATAATGATTTCTTTTTAAATTGGACTTTTGTTTAGGAAAAGACAATCAGCCATAATTTCTGACAGCCCCCACCTTACAAGATCGGAATGATTGTCCCAGGAAGCTGCTTTCAAATGCTAAGACTAAAACATCCTTTCTTTCTCTTTCTCACATTAGCAGCAATAGCCTTTGGGTGGTTTCTAAGCACTGCTGCCTCACCTCTTGTCCCTCTGAGGTTCTGAGAGGGTTAACAATTCTCTTGTTTGAGTGATGCTTTTTGAATACTTCTAGGAACTGGGTGCTAGTGCTAAATTTGGAATTCCTGGTTCTCATGCTGTCCTCAGCCCTGTTGTTCCAAAGCAGGGCATGCAAGAAGAGGGGACAGAGATAAATGAAGATCAGATCTACTCTCGACGAGCGCCAGCCTAATGGAGAAGCCAGACACACAAACAGATACTTAGTGTTCAGCCTGATAAATGCAGCCACGCAGATGAGTTCACCAAGTGCAGACGCCACTCCGGGGCAGGACAAGCTCTCACCATTCATGTGTGCATCATTCATTCAACCTCTCATTCATTCAGGAGGCGGACATGGTACAGGAGGAGAGGCATCAGCAAATGCCATGTCCCCATTTCTTTACACTCTCCTAGAAGTCTTCAAGATTAAACACAGACAGGCAGGGTGAGGTGGTGGCTCATGCCTAGAACTTCAGGAGGCCAAAGCAGCAGGATTGCTTGAGGCCAGGAGTTTGGGACCAGCCTGAGCAAGAGGAGGAGCCTGTTTCTACAAAAAAAAAAATGTAAAAAATTACTTGGGAATAGTGGCATACACTTGTAGTCCCAGCTATTTGGGAGGCTGAGGTAGGAGGATCACTTAAGCCCAGGACTTAGAGGCTGCAGTGAACTGTGATGATCCCACTGCACTCTAGCTGGGGCAATAAAGGGAGACTGTCTCAAAAAAATAAACACAAATGAATCAGTGAAAGATCTAATAATGTAAACACAAGGAAAGAAATGAATGGAGAGATGATCAAATAAAAGCTATTGTTAAGAAATGAACTGGTGCTATCTTGCACCTCCCCCAGTGATTCCTCCCTCGGTCCCAGAAAATGTATCACTCTTTCATCTCAAAGCCAGACCTACCCCATTGAACCTGCATCAAGGAGGCAAAATGAGAGAGGAGTGTGGAGAATAATGGCTCATTTGCAAGGCCAGGAGGCAGACTGGTCTCAGAGTCGGCCACTAGGCCAGACAGGCAGAAGCACTGCGTCATGTCTCTGGGAAATGGGAGTCTCTGAAGAAAGCAGGTGCTTGCCTGGCAGGATAATTGGAAAGGGAGCTCTGGGGACAGCATGGCCATCCCTAGAATCACATAAACTCTGGTAGCCCCAAAACTCTAGCTCCCTCAGCTAAGCTGTCAGTCCCCTTGGGAAGAGCTTTGGCACATAAATAGTGCAGTAGGGGACTGCAGAATGAGTCACAGCTTCTTAGAACTGGGAAGAGCCTTGGAGATCACCAGACTCAAACACTGTCTGCTTTAAGAGTGAGGAAAATATGGGGCCCAGAGAAATGGTGAATCTAGTCTAGGACCACATAACAAGTAACGGGAGGGTTACCGTTAATTCAGGGAACACACAATTTGGCACCCCCCAAAAGTGGGACTTTACAGTGAATTTATTCTAACCTTTTTGAATTCCAGTGGTATATCCAAAATGGAGTTATTTCCCCAAATACGAATGATAGCAGGCAGGAAATGAAAAAGATTGTCACCACCCCTACATGCTCACATTCCTTGCCTCAAGGCACTTGCCCATTTTGTACCAAATGGCACACAGAGAACTTACAAGCCCTAACATTGCATTTGGCTACAGATATGCTCCTGTGGCCACACTGGATGGCACTGCCTTTGCAGTGGGCAGCTTCGAGAGGCACAGCAGAGATTCCAAATGTCGACAGGAAACGCTGCATATGGCTGGGATGTTACCTGTGATGCTGCTGGCTGTCCAATGACAACCCAGCCTGGGCATTGCTGGTCTTGATGGGATACTGACACATTGGATGCCCACTGGTCCAGGAACCCCTGTGGCGTGTAGACACCACAGTCTTTAATGCTGGTTTTTCGTTCAAACTCCTCACATACTCCATCACCATCATGGAAATAGCACCGGCTGGGTTCCTCTGCAGGAGATAACAGACACAGAAGGGGAGAGATTAGATAAATATTTGTGCTTTGGCCTCAGCATTCATCAGCGACTGTGGAATCAGACAACCTAAGCCATCAGCACTGCCAAGCCCATCATTGTTAGTCACAATGGAATATTACCCCCCCCCCCAAAAAAAGAAGGCCATCCTGTCCCATATGCAACAACATGGATGACCCTGGAGGACATTATGCCAAGTCAAACAAGCCAGCTGCAGGCCAAATCTGTCTGATTCCGCTCAGGAAGAAAGGGGAAAGGGGAAGCGGCTGTTCAATGAGTATGAAGATTCAATTATGCAAGATAAAAACATTCTCGAAATCCACTATCTGACACTGTGCTCCAGGTTATCCACACCGTACAGTATGCTTAAAATATGTTACGAAGGCAGCTCTCATATCCTGCGCTTGTCTGTCATAGCACAAAGAAAAAATTCACAAATAGTTCCAATCTTCATTACCCCAAGTGAGCCTCTCAACAACATTGTGCAGAAGGTGCTGGTATTTTGATCTTCCAAATGAGGAAACTGAGATCTTCTGTGTCTTTAATAATTTTCCCCAAGTTTTGCAGTATGTTAACACCAGATGTGGGTCCAACTCTGGCACTCACTTTCTATGTTCTGAGTACATCATCTGACACCACGGAACATCACAGTTGCAAAGTAAGGCTTATTTAACTCCAAGAGGATTTCAGTTTAGCACACAAAAATGAGCTAATCCACAGGAGAAATCAGCTTCAGGCCTGGCTCTGAAACTAAAGTGCTCTGTTGCTTTGAATAAGTCTCTTTCCCTCTCTGGGCTCAGTCAGGACAGAGAAGGGGGTCAGACTAGGAGGACTCCAAGAATCTTTCCCGTCTAATGCTCTCGTCTTCTAAGGGTTTCTCAGAAGTTTCAGCTAAAGACAAAGAGACTTCTCTAGATCTTGTGTCATCCAGACCACAGCAAGTATTTCTGCTTGTCCTGATGACAGCTGTAGCTTGGCTGCCATGATGCTCACTTAGCTGCAAGGACAAAGATCACAGGAGCACAAAGGCTGCAGCAGGAGGCCATCTAAGCAGGTGTGACCTATGCATGTTTCTTGATGTTTAACACAGAGCAGTACAAGAAGAAACCTAGATGTGGCCATCCAAAATAGATCATCCTATCTATCTTTTAATAACTCTAATATCAGCTCTTCTCTGCTTTTTTCCCAACTTTTCTAGGCAACGCTAAATACCCCCTCCTGTATGGCGCTTGTTGTATAAAGATCCATACTTTAACACTTACCACACTGTGCTGCTCTTAAGTTTCCATGTTGCAGCTCATCTGAAAAATTCTCAGCTCCCCGAAATGTTATCCCTATGTAGTATCTTAGGCTTGTTGTGTAATTTATCGTCTAAACTACAGCACTGGAGAGTGATAGTGGTGTTATTAAAAATTGCGTCCAGTCAACAGGCAAATATCCTGAGAAAATCTGAGTATCTCAGGCAAATCAGACTGAGGAATCACCCTAAGAATCCTGCAGAATCTAGAATATCCTTCTTCAAAAGAATGGAGTGAAGCTCTGAGCAGGGCATGGAATTTAGGGCCAAAGACCAGGGTTTAACTTCTGTGTCTTATAGTAACTAGGTAATTTTGCACAAGCAGCTTCCCTTTTCAGCTCCCAGCTCCCCACTTGTACTGAAGGAATTACAGTCCTAGCCAGGATAACCATAGCACTCATAGGAAATGAGCATAAATGTGCTTTGTGGATTCTAAAATAATCGTGAAGAGAAAAAATACTCTCGTTTTAAAGGGTTGATTTGTTCCTGAGTGGCTGAATTAAATCAGCTTATGAAATCAGTACTCACTTGAAGCAATTTCAAGCCACATTCCCTTAGCTAGAAGGAGCCTGGGTCAAGGAGAAATCAGACTTGGATTTCTATGATGCTGACTGTCCGGAAAAGGAGTCATTGAATTCAGGGGCAGCAGAATGTTGAGCCCCTTCCAAGTTCTAAAATCCTTTGTTTATTTCTGCAAACAGTTTACGTAGTGAAATACTATCAAAAGAGCCAGAATAAATCAATTCATTATAATTCAATTATTTAAGGATGGACGTAAGCCAGCTGAGGACTCCAGTGACCAGTAGCATGCCTAGCAGTTTGACCATGAAAAGAATACAGGCTCAGCACTTCTCAGTAGCTCCAACCTCTTGGCGAACTTGGCCAACTTACATATAACATGACTTAGGCCCAACTCAAGAACGACCAGCCATCTATCCAGACTTTACTGTTTAGAAATCCAATCAAGGGAACTGCAAAGAGCATTTTGACATTAGATGAAGGTATGTTCAGATCCTGAGTCTGCTACACGTAAGCTGTGCAGGACCTAAATAAAATAACCCAACTTCTCTAACCTTCATTTTCCTCCTTAAAAAAGAAAATGGAGGCAATGATATTTGTCTAGTATTATTGCCGTGATTGCAAAAAAAAAAAAAAAAAAAAAATTAGGTGTGCAAAGGCAGCTCCTTCACCCATTTTATGCAATGGAAAACTTAGAGCTAGAGGGGGAACATCCAGGTCCCAGACAGAGTTGGCAGCAGAGCAAGAAGTCAGAGCTGGGCCTCCTCATACCCCGCAGGGAAATCTCCCCCTACACACAGAATCTGCATAGTGATGAAAACACAACCTCTGGAGAATAAGAGTGTGGGGTTGTCTGACCCTTGGCACCATTCTCTCCCCCTCCCATATAAAGACAAATAAGGTAAGAATATAGTAAGATTTATTCTCTAAGATGACTTAATTCACTTCCTTGGGCGGGGGTGGGGGGACTCTCAGAATGGCAGGAATTGGGGCTAGAGTTGAGTTCCCATAAAGGCTAATTTCTTCCTGATTTTGTTTAAGTCCACAAGAAATCTGTGTGCTCGAAATCAGCAGAGCCTGAGAGTGGAGGAGAGACAGAGATAGACGTAGGTAGGTGAGTAGGTTTGCAGATAGGTAGATAGGTTAAAAGGGAGAAAAGAAATGGTGTGAGAATTCCAGAGAAAGGGAAGCTATGGAGACGCCTGGTTTCTTCCCCAAGATTCTGCTGACAAAGCTCTTGTGAGTCCCTTTTTAAAATAACATCCTTGGATTCTGCTATTCAGTTTCTGCTGCTACTGGTGTCCCCGGGGCCCGTCAGCTACATCTGCCAGTCTGCATCTGGGGAATTCTCTCTCTCTCTCTCTCTCTACTCCCTTTGCCCCAAGCACTGAGGAGAACAGAGTGAAGGACGGAATACAAATGCGTGACCAGGAAACACAAAGACAGCAGCAACAAAACAATAAGAAGCAACTGGCCTTCTTGTTTTCATTACATCAGTTTACTGGGTGTACTTTCTGCTGCTGGCACTGAGCAGGCTGCGACGAAGAGTTTGAAGTCCGTACCAAAGTCAAATTGTTACCCTGTCACCCTGACTTCCAAGAATTAATAGTAGCTAGGTGACATCGATATTAATACAATTCATTGCAAGGAATATTGTGAAAATTATATATCTATAATATATAGACATACATATGCAAATATATAGACGTTTGATAAATATTTGTTGAATGAATGAATCACTACAATTTAGCATCCGTGAGGCCACACTGTTGTCTAAATATAGTTTAGATGCTTCACTGTTTGAAATTTTTCTGTAGCTTATGTCCTAGAGCAGAGGAAGAGCAGCTGAGATGTTGGTGGTGGTGACTGGCTTACAGTGGGGAGGCACAGGGCTTCCTGATTTCTCCATCCCCCCTCACCTTCCCCTAGCAGGAGGGAATTCCTCATTTCAGATTCATCCCCTTCCATGTGGTGACACATTTAGAAATCTGCTCTGTCCAGCTAGGAGACTGGATAGGGGTGGGGTGCTATCTTCCCTGGTTGGGCTTTCTTATGCCAGAACTTTATTTTCCTTTTGGAAGAAATGAACTCAGTCTCAGGAGCCCGAAGTTGATGGCCTTTCTGTAAGTGGACAGACACAGCTGATGCCACAGTCCCCCCAAACAACTTTCTATTTTCTTTAGTCGGGAGCGAAAGATGAAATGCCACACCCCTAGATTTCTGAGGCATGTCTGGAGAACACACTATTTAAGAGAAGCAGAGATTGTTATCCCCACTGGAAAGCTTAGACGGCCAAGTCTTAAGGAAATGAGAAGGTGTGCCCTAAAGTCTAAGCAAAGGCTAGGGTTAGAGCTATTGTTAACAGTTCCTATCCTTCAAATAAACATAAAAGTTGTCAAGTTAGTCCCCTAAAGGTGAAGGGGAAGGAGGCAGAGGCAACTGGGGAGGGCGATCGGTGGGAGGAGGATGGGCAATTGGGGGGATCTCACCTAACATGCACAATTTGAGGGTGTTATAACGTGAACTTTACCTTGGAAGTAATAATTTGAAATTAAAAAAAAAGGACTAGGTTGGAACAACAACAACAAAAAAACAACCAAGAGTTCCTATTTTTTTTTTTTAAGATAGTCTCACTTTTTTGCCCTTGGTAGAGTGCCGTGGTGTGATAACTCACAGCAACCTCAGACTCTTGAGCTCAAGCAATTCTCCTGCCTCACTTTTTCATTTTTAGTAGAGACAGATCTCACTCTTGCACAGGCTGGTCTCAAACTCATGAGCTCAAGCGATCCACCTGCCTCGGCCTCCCAGAGTGCTGGGGTTACAGGCGTGAGCCACCACCCCCTTGAGAGTTCTTGTTCTTCAAGTCAGAAACCCAGCATCCACCCTCCTGATCTGCCTCTAGTATTGCTCAGTCTCAGACATGGCATTTCACCCCTCCAGACTTCCATTTCATCATCTACAAAATGGAGACAAAATTACATTTTATACTTCCTCCAGCATAAAAGGAGGGTAGGTATGATCAAATAGCATAACAGAGAAATAGGAAAGTGAAAATCAGTCTTGAAGACGTAGGGTCTATTCTTAACAATGAGGGATGAGGTTGGGGCTGAAGGAGAAGTCTCCTTAAGGATTCCACTTCATCTACCCACCTCCGGCTCCTA